TTTAAATCTTTTATATAATCACTTTGTCTTTTAATGAATTCTCTATCATTTATTTCGACATTCTTTCATTCAAACAACCAATTATCACCAGCTTCATCCGCACATTTTTTGCCATTTATCATGTTCATAATATTATTCACCTTTTTCTGATGAGACCTTTTTAGTAATCCATTTAGGACTAATATTTTTTAGATTATTTTTCATGCTTTTATCATATTTGTAATATTATTCAACTTTTTCCGATGAAGACTTTTTAGTCATTCATTTGGGACTAATAATTTTCAGCTTATTTTTCATGATTTTATCATATTTGTAATATTATTCAACTTTTTTCTGATGAAGACTTTTTAGTCATTCATTTGGGACTAATAATTTTCAGCTTATTTTTCATGATTTTATCATATTTGTAATATTATTCAACTTTTTCTGATGGAGACTTTTTAGTCATTCATTTGGGACTAATAATTTTCAGCTTATTTTTCATGATTTTATCATATTTGTAATATTATTCACCTTTTTCTGATGAGACCTTTTTTAGTCATCCATTTAGGACTAATATTTTTTAGATTATTTTTCATGATTTTATCATATTTGTAATATTATTCAACTTTTTCTGATGAAGACTTTTTAGTCATTCATTTGGGACTAATAATTTTCAGCTTATTTTTCATGATTTTATCATATTTGTAATATTATTCACCTTTTTCTGATGAAGACTTTTTAGTCATTCATTTGGGACTAATAATTTTCAGCTTATTTTTCATGATTTTATCATATTTGTAATATTATTCACCTTTTTCTGATGAGACCTTTTTAGTCATCCATTTAGGACTAATATTTTTTAGATTATTTTTCATGATTTTATCATATTTGTAATATTATTCAACTTTTTCTGATGAAGACTTTTTAGTCATTCATTTGGGACTAATAATTTTCAGCTTATTTTTCATGATTTTATCATATTTGTAATATTATTCAACTTTTTTCTGATGAAGACTTTTTAGTCATTCATTTGGGACTAATAATTTTCAGCTTATTTTTCATGATTTTATCATATTTGTAATATTATTCACCTTTTTCTGATGAGACCTTTTAGTCATTCATTTAGGACTAATATTTTTAGATTATTTTCATGATTTTATCATATTTGTAATATTATTCAACTTTTTCTGATGAAGACTTTTTAGTCATTCATTTGGGACTAATAATTTTCAGCTTATTTTTCATGATTTTATCATATTTGTAATATTATTCAACTTTTTCTGATGAAGACTTTTTAGTCATTCATTTGGGACTAATAATTTTCAGCTTATTTTTCATGATTTTATCATATTTGTAATATTATTCACCTTTTTCTGATGAGACCATTTTAGTCATCCATTTAGGACTAATATTTTTTAGATTATTTTTCATGATTTTATCATATTTGTAATATTATTTTTTTTCTGATGAAGACTTTTTAGTCATTCATTTGGGACTAATAATTTTCAGCTTATTTTTCATGATTTTATCATATTTGTAATATTATTCACCTTTTTTCTGATGAGACCTTTTTAGTCATCCATTTAGGACTAATATTTTTTAGATTATTTTTCATGATTTTATCATATTTGTAATATTATTCAATTTTTTTTTCTGATGAAGACTTTTTAGTCATTCATTTGGGACTAATAATTTTCAGCTTATTTTTCATGATTTTATCATATTTGTAATATTATTCAATTTTTTTTTCTGATGAAGACTTTTTAGTCATTCATTTGGGACTAATAATTTTCAGCTTATTTTTTTCATGATTTTATCATATTTGTAATATTATTCACCTTTTTCTGATGAAGACTTTTTTTAGTCATTCATTTGGGACTAATAATTTTCAGCTTATTTTTCATGATTTTATCATATTTGTAATATTATTCACCTTTTTCTGATGAGACCTTTTTAGTCATCCATTTAGGACTAATATTTTTTAGATTATTTTTCATGATTTTATCATATTTGTAATATTATTCAACTTTTTCTGATGAAGACTTTTTAGTCATTCATTTGGGACTAATAATTTTCAGCTTATTTTTGATGATTTTATCATATTTGTAATATTATTCACCTTTTTCTGATGAGACCTTTTTAGTCATCCATTTAGGACTAATATTTTTTAGATTATTTTTCATGATTTTATCATATTTGTAATATTATTCAACTTTTTCTGATGAAAACTTTTTAGTCATTCATTTGGGACTAATAATTTTCAGCTTATTTTTCATGATTTCATCATATTTGTAATATTATTCAACTTTTTCTGATGAAGACGTTTTAGTCATTCATTTGGGACTAATAATTTTCAGCTGATTTTTCTTGCTTTTACACCTCATATTAATAGTCTTCCCAAATTTCTTTAATGAAAAATTTTCAATTATTACTCATTGTTTTACAAGCATTGTTGAATCTTATTTTCTTGCTTTCACACTGAGTAGTAATTAACTTTCTGTCACACATGAAATAATTTATTTTAGTAAATGCATATTTATGTCAATGAACTTTCACTGATATTTGTACATTTGGAAAAATACTAAAGAAATGTAAAACATGCAGCATATACATGTCACGTATAGTGCAATCCCTGAATCTGGAATGAATTGTTGCATCTCCAGAACGTATTTACATGTGTATCATGCAATGGCCACTGAAAATGCATGTTTTTTAACATCTTCAGAAAAATTACCCGTGTATAGTGCGACCCCTTATTTTTGAGTTAAAAAATTCATAATAAAAACTTGCATTTTAATCGAGCATATATAGTAGTTATTTGATGTTATTAAAATAAATCAAGTATATTAAATGTGTGTGGGTGGTGCAATGGATAACTGCTCAGAATGAGAATTCATGGAGCCGATTTCGAATTCCAGTCAAGGTTATTACGTACAAACATTATGCGCAAATATCCTTGGGAAAGGAATGAATCCATCTTTTCTCTCAGCATCAATGGGTTGAATAGCAGAACAGACTGAGTTTTGGTTGGCAATCAGTCTGAAAGAAACGACAATCTACTTCGGGAATATCTTCTGCTTACTCAGTTATAAATCATGTATCCCATATAGCACTTAACTGAGTTCAATCCCATGTGCTGATTTACTCTGCAATCAGTTGAAACTCGCTATAGCTACTATCTCTCATCTTAAATTCACACTTTCCGAACATCTAAACATGATACTGGATATATTGTTTGATGCCAGAGGCGATGACTTAATTGTTTTTTTTATGTTTTGTGTTTCTTGCTTAACAACGGCAAACAACATGATAGATTTATAAATGTGCAAGATATCATTATTTTTATCACTTATCCCCCTAACTATGGGTTGAATAACAGGACAGACTGGATCCTATAGCCGTGACTGACAGCCAATCTATCACACAAAGCAATGGCAACCTACTGTGGGAGAATCTTCTGTCTAGTCAGTCATGAATCGAAAGAGACATGATTGCTGAAGCATGTATCATGTATGGCATTTGACTGTATCTCTTTTCCCTCCAGCTATGGAGGGAAAAGAGATACAATCAAATGATATAGACTGGGTGCTATAGCCTTGCTTGTCAACAGATACAGACTGGGTGCTATAGCCTTGGTTGGCAACCTGTCTACCACAAAAAACAGCAACATACTGTGATAAAATCTGCTTAATCACTCATTGATAAAAAAAGACATAATCGCACGAATGCGGACCACGTATGGCACTTAACTGACTGACTGATAGAAAGTAACGAATGAATACAATTCAAATGATAATTTAGGAGAATATTATTTAGAATATAGAATTAAATTAAGAAGAAAATTATAATAATTTTTATTAAGATTATTTTATTTAAACATTATCTTAACCAGAAAAGGTGTTATGTTATAAAATCCTATTTTTTGAATAATTGAATTGAATTTTGATATCATAACTGATTTCATAATCCCTCTTGAAGAATTATGAGGAATAAATTGAACTATTTTGTCGTTTATAAAGTCAAAAGACGATTTTCTATCTTGTAACATAATGACAACATCATTTGCTTTATAAATAAAATGATACAACATAAAGAATATAATTTGTGTCTGATTTCGATAGCTTGTTTTTCATTCATAGATGCTTTCTTTAAACACCATTGTGTTTCATCCAAAACATTTTATGGGAGCTTATGGCCGTATCATGTTGAAACAATGGTTCTCGTTCTATACGTCATAAATGAATTACCACTTGGGAATACCAGATGCTGTAAGCTTTGTTTAATGGCACATCAATTCCTTATGGGTCACTTAATGGCCAACTTCAATTTTTTGGGTGCTTTGAAGTAACTAAAATATGATATATGTTATTCTGTTTTCACAGTCGAATACATGGTAAATGATACTCAAATTTTGTGCATATATATGTTTGTGGGAACATAATTACTAGAGGCGGTGATATGTTTGTTTTATGTTGTAGTTTTGTTGAAATTATATTTTGAAACACAGTTTGATTTTATAAATTGTCAGATATTATATGGACTAATGTCATGAAAGAGTTTTTTTCATATTGGTTGTTTGGTTGATTTTGTTTAGTGGCATATCAACACCTCTATAATGCCAAAATCTAAATATTTTGTACATAATTTTATGCTTTCAACTACAAATATTCTGTATATTATCTTATAATTTCAGAGTAAAGGTATGTTTTTTTTAGATATATATTTTGTAGTTGATAAAGACTTTGGGGTTCAATATTTGCCAACAGATAGGGACCCAAACACGTGTTACCGCTACAGGTAAGGGTGAATCTAGGAATGACAGCATTTAAGTGGGGGTTTCATGCTCCTTAAAACCTTCAATCTTCTGATCAAAGGCGTTGCTAATGGGTGCAGTTTATCGTCATACCCAGAACTAGCAGGTGGAGTTATGGATTACGGTTTGAAATGAGTGACTGTGACTGGCTAAGTTAAAAGATAATGTAATGAAAACCAGACATCCTAAATCCCAGTTTTAATTCCAACACTGGTCCTCATATGATCATTGAAGTTAAGCAACATCGAGCCTTGTCAGTACATAGATGGGTGACCGCTTGGGAATACTAGGTTCTGTAAGCTTGGATGTAATGTAGTGTAATGAATGTTGGCTAGGAATTGGAAATCAGGGAGCTGCATTCCAATTTCAATTGAATTCATTATATTGCAAATAAACCCTGGGAAGGTATGAATCCATCTCTTCTCACCCCAGCTATGGGTTAAATAGTAAAACTTTGTATCAGGGAATCTTTGGTATCTCCAAAAATGAAAATCTTACAATCTAAATATATTTTATAGCTTTAAATAACCCGCAAAAGGTTGATAAACCATAAAAATAGATCAATCTATTACTAAATGTTAATGGTACTGGTAGTATTAGGAAACATTTAGCATTCATCGACTGAGCAGCAAGTACTTCTTTTGGTTGAAGTTTTTTGCCTCTTTCTCTTCAAACAATTTTCCAGTAAAATATTTTTAAAGTACAGTAGCTGTTATCACTCTTTCCAGTATTGATGGGGGGGGTTCTTTGCAGGAATGTGGAATAGCAACATCTTGATTAAGCTATTATTTTCTCTTCGAGTTACGTGCTATTCATTTTACTTCTTACTGCTCTTGGTAGTCCTCAAGTGATATGGTTTCGGTTATTTGGTGCATTTCTTTGTTTGTCATTCTGGAGCCCCAGTCCACAATTCTGCAGCCCCAGTTAAAATTCTCTATTGCGGAATTTACAATTCTGTAGCCCCAGGCCCACAATTCTATAGCCCCAGGCCAGATGTAGCCACAATCCTGTAGCCCCAGGCCAATATAGCCCCAGGCCACAATTCTGTAGCCCCAGTCCACAATTCTAAGCACCAGGCCACAATTCTGTAGCCCCAAAAAACAATTCTGTAGAAATTATTTGACAATTCTGTAGCCCCAGTCCACAATTCTGTAGCCCCAGGCCACAATTCTGTAGCACTGGGCCACAATTCTGTAGCCCCAGTCCACAATTCTGTAGCCCCAGTCCACAATTCTGTAGCCCCAGTCCACAATTCTGTAGCCCCAGTTCAATGCAGGATGATATTTGCCAAAAACTCTCAAGCTTCATTCGCTAAGGCTATTTTTAACCATAAAGCAAACGAAACGGTTGTATACGGCTGCCATTTTAAAGATTTGTGAACAGATCTAGTGCTTTGTATGATATCCAGATGAATGCCTCGACCTGACAAGACAATTTAAGAACATGGCTTAAGTTTTCAGGTTGATGCTTTAGTTTTGTATCAATGTGCAGTGTTGGGAGAAACTAGTGACGCAGCCTATTCTTTTGTTCAATTCTATTTTTCTCTTATACTAAATTTATTATAACGGTAAAACTTGAAGTATTTAAAGAGTTTAGTATTTACTAATTCCACATCCTGAATTTTTATAATGTATTCAGGGTAGGTGTCATCACTGCTTTCATTTCAATTCTGGATAAGAGGTTTTCATTTGGAATAATTTAGCTTGAGTGTTATTTCTTAGAACACTTGGTAGAGAAATTTGTTATTCTGTTTGTTCTAATCTCAACTATGAATACCTAAATTTGATTATATATATATATATATATATGTATATATATATATATATATATATATTATAAATTAATTGATTTAAAATATGTTTTTTCCGCTACACAGTTCTAACCATGTTTCAAAAATGGAAGCTAAAAAGCCACGAATTTAATTTTGCAATTAAATTAAAGACATTAGTTCCATTTCATCCTCAAGCGAATTTTTGGAGTAAGTTTTTTTTAAAATTACTGGGTTTTAAAGACACAGCTAAAATCCGTTTCCATGGTTACAGATAAATCTATTTCAATTGGACAAGGGTTGTCTGGGTTTTCCTTATGTCTCTATCATTGTATCTCTTAACGAAAATTACTAATGAATCCAATAAAACACCTACTGAAAAATGAAATTATAACGAATTTTTTTAGATGATGTAGGCCTGTGAACGACCCATGTCCTTTGTACATACATATGAAACTTTATTACTTAGTTTATATATATTTAAAACAAATAAATAAATTAATTAATAAATAAAGTTTACTAAATCTGAGAAATGAATTAGCTATTTTTTCCAGTAAGTGCCATAAATATTACTTAAATAATATTTAAATATAAAAGTTTTAAAATCGTAATATACATATACTTTGATATGGAAAAATAATTTTACTTACTATAATAATTTCAAATACATTTTCCTTCTGTTATAAAGTAATATAGTCTATAAAAAAATAACAATGAAAATATTTTAAATTTTATAATTAAAATTGTAGTTAAATAAAATGAATTCTAACCTAAACTTCTTTTACTTAGCACTACAAGCACTTAAAAGAATCCAATAAAACACCTATAGTAAAATAAAATTAATATGAAATGCCAGAAGATGTAAGCTTATGAATGACCCATGTCCTTTGTACTTACACGAGAAACAATATATTACTAGGTTTATATATATATAAAATAAAAGTTTACTAAATCAGTAAATTAAGTAACTATTTTTGCCGTCATTGTCATAAATTTTAAAAAAAAAAAAAATTTTTAAAAAAAAAAAAATGTACCCTAATATACATACTTATACTTGTAAAAATAATCCTACATAATAAAAGGGATTCTAATACATTTAACTGTTCATAAAACGAATATAGTATAATAAAAATTAAAAATGAGAATATTTCAAATCCTAGTTAAATAAAAACTAAAAAGTATTCTAATCTGAACACCCAAAAAAAATTTTTTAAATTTACAAATAGGAAAAAAAATGCCGTAAGAATTTTTTTTGCCGTTAACAATAATTTTAAAAAAAAATCCAGACGACATGCATTCAACGGATGTCAGTTTTCATTGAAAAATACATCCCTACCCCTTACCAAAATGTAGCTAATAACCGATACAATGATAGAGACATAAGGAAAACGCAGACATCCCTTGTGGTCAAATAGATTTAGATTAACCATGGAAACGTGATTTTAGCTGTGTCTTTAAAACCCAGTAATTTTAAAAGTTACTCCAAAATTCGCTTGAGGATGAAATGGAACTAATGTCTTTAATTTAATTGCAAAATTAAATTCGTGGCTTTTAGCTTTTTTTTGAAACATGGTTAGAACTGTGTAGCGGAAAAAAAAACATATTTTAAATCAATTAATTTATAATATTAATGCTCTGTAAATTTACATTGAGCACTATTTTGTAAAAATAAAAATATCTATAAGAACACCGGATTATATATCTTACTGTTCTTTTTTTTTTTATTTTAAATATATATATATATATATATATATATATATATATATATATATATGTATACATATTTTTTGGATACATGTTTGTACTAGTGAGCTAGCCAAAATGAGCTGACTCATTTTATAGTCCACCTAGAGAAGGGTTAACCAATCAGAAAGCTCAAAATATACAATCCGACGTGTAAAAAAGGCAGCCATTTACATTTTTTTCTCCCAAAATATCTTCACTGCCAACCTGATATCGAAGACTTAAAGAATTAACAGCCGCTACTGCAATCCGAATCTTCATGCCAACCTCTGATATTGAAGACATTACGGACTTCACTGGATTCCATATTTAGAGACTACGGCAAACATGGTCAACAATATATATATATATATATATATATATATATATATATATATATATGCAAGACTCTACGGTAAAACGAATCGAGTAGAAAAGTCACTGTGTGTTTATCTAAGACAGCCATGAAGTGCGCCAACTGTTTAAGGGTAAACTCATCGACTGACGCCAATTCAACTGGGTTTCGATTCTAGCTGTAGACAACCGGACATCTAGGCCACACTAATGATCTGTGATACAAAAAACAGTCTTTCTGTGGATACATATTATATATATATATATATATATATATATATATATATATATATATATATATATATATATATATATATATATATATATATATGTGTGTGTGTGTGTATAAATTTTTTTATACAAGTTGTATTAAAGACTGCAATCAAGGTTGTTATTCAATTTTTATTTTGTTTTTATAATTGTTTTCCTTTCTGGACATAGATTATATGTATAACTGTAGTGATTGGAATTTCTTTTTTTTTTTTACAAACACGGTAAGCACGTTTTGGCGGTGTTCTTAATTGATATTATTGAGTGTTGGCTTTTTCTTTTTTTTTATTATTAATGCTTCGTCTATTTTCAGTCTTTTTTTACAAGAACATTAAGCTATTATAGCCATATTTTCTATGAAGAAAAAAAGCAACACTGAATAATATCAACCATGAACACAATCACAACGTGCTGATCCTTTTTGGAAAATAAAAAAAAAATCCCATTACAGCGTAACCCGGATATAAGAAACCCGGATATAAGAGAGATTTTCTCGGGTCCCAAATTAGAGCCTGTGTTAATGTATATAAATTAGACCAAAACCGGATATAAAGAGAAATATATTTTTAAGAGACTTCGTCTCCGGTCCCGACAACTCTCTTATATCCGGGTTACGCTGTACTAGAGACACGCATATAAAAATCTACATATTCAGTTAAAAATATGAAAATATAAAAAAAAAGTGAAGATTCATCTTGTTTGTAGTTGACCTGCATTTGACTTTTTGGGGGAAATATTTATGTTATTTTTTACTCTGTTCACTATTATTATTATTTACTTTGGGAAGAAATTTCCTGGTCGATAAGGTGGTTAAGGATGTCATTGTTAACTAGTGTCTGTTTTGCATTGTTGAGGAAAAATTTAAATTTGATGTCTTCTACATGCTATATAAACAGGCCAGTAAACCTATGTCTGCTACGTAGACGATATTTTGATTTGATCGAAAAGCACAAAAAAGAAATGGATACTCTCAAGAAGACCACATTTGAAAAACAAACTCTGCCCTTAACTTTACCTACGAACTTAGTAAAATAATAAACTACCATTCTTAGACATTTTCGTAGAATACAGTAGCAACAAATTTAGCACCTCGTTGTATAAAAAAAAATGATTCTTGTCACCTTAACGTTAAGAGTGAATGCCCAACTCAGATATAAAATAGCAGTGATAAAAACTTTAAAAAGCA